GAGAAGCAGACTCCCTGCCAAGCAGGAAGCCCGATGCGGGACTCGATCCAGGGACTCCAGGATCATGACCTGAGCCGAAGGCAGTCGCTTAACCAACTGAGCCACCCAGGCGCCCGATGCAGTGTATATTTTATAGTCATGGGATGTACACAAACATTAGTTAAATTCTGAATGCTAGCAACTCCTTAATAGTAACAGCATATGGTAATTGCTAAGGATAGACTGATATGTGGCCCAGAAAGCTGATCGTGACATGGAAAGACCTTTTTTAAATTTTTTTATTTTTTAAAGATTTTATTTATTTGAGAGACACAGAGAGAACAAGCAGTGGGGAAGGGCAGAGGGAGAGAGAGAAGCAGACTCATAAGGATGGGTTGCAGTTTCCCAAGGTGACATATAAGTAAAGACACGAAAGAGATGAGGGAGTTAGCCATGTAGATATTGGGGGAGAAATATTCCAGGCTGATGCCCTAAGGGAGTGGCCTGCCTGGCCTGCCCCAAGAACTGCAAGGAGGCAGTCTGGGAAGGGGGGGAGTAAGGGAGGGGAGAGTAGTGGGATGAAGTCGGAAACCTAACACAGGGCCAGGTCATGCTGGGCTGTGTGGGCCATTGTAGCAACTTCTACTTTGAGTGAAATATGTAAGCACTTGAGGGTTTTGGGCAGAGGAGGGGTGTGATCTGAGTTAGGCTTTAAAGGATCACTGTGCTTGCTGTGTGGAGAATAGACTCTAAAGGAGCAAGAGTAGAGGCAGAGACCTTTTAAGAGACTGTTGCAGTAATCCAGGCAAGAGGTGACAGTGGTTCGGACCAGACTTGTATGGGAGAGGTGGTGAGAAGTGTTTGAAGTCTGGGAGTTTCTGCAGGTAGAGCCAAGAGGATTTGCTGATGGCTTGGATCTGGCATGTGAGAGAAAACAGGCACAGATGACTCTGAGACAGAGGAGGTGGGGGGTGGAACAGGTTTGGGCGCTGATCAGGAGTTCAGGTTTGAATATGCTAATTTTGCACTTGATCTTAGCCAGAAGGCTGAGAAGCGATGAATATGCTAATTTTGAAACCGGTGTCTACTGGACTTCCAAATGGAGATGTAAAGTAGGGTTGGGTATGTGAATCTAGAGCTTGGGAGAGCTCCAGGTTGGGATTAAGATCTGGGAGTCTTTGGGGTGCCTGGGTGGATCAGTCGATTGAGCACCTAACTCTTGATTTTGGCTCAGGTCATGATCT